CGTTTACAACACAACTTACTCGGATCAACTTGTCTTCGGCACCAGTAGCGAGGTAGCGACCATCAGGACTAAAGCAGACACTGCGAATGTAGAGATCGGCGCTCATATCAGAGGCATTGTGGTCCTCAAGCACGCAAACCTTTTCACCAGTCTGAACATCAAAGATCTGGGCAGATCGATTGCAACCAGTTGCAACATACTTGCCATCATGGCTGAACCTAACGCAGCACACGACACTCTCGTGGTTGAGAGAGTGGACAAGGTCTACATCCAGAACACGCTGGACTTGGGGGTTGAAAATCGCATACCAATCCTGTCCAGTCTTCTTGTTGTGAGGGGCCACAGAATCGACTTCAAGATCGCCGAGAGCGTTGCCAACGGCGGGAGCATGCGGGCCTCCCATTCGACCGTGTTCGGGAGTCGGATGGCTGACTTGAGGGGAGGCTGCACTTCCAGGGTAAGGCACGGGCGTGTTGACCTGAGGAGTAGCAGGTCCAACGGCACCTGGTGGACGACCGATACCCCTTCTACCGGGGCCGGGAGAGGCGGTGCTCTGCGGCTGGGGGCCCATCCCGTTGGAAACGGGGCCCGGAGGATAGTTCTGAGAGTAAGGAGCTTGCTGCGCGTTGGGGTGAGGAGGAGGAACAGGCAGTCCAGGAGGCCCTTGGCCCATTTGGTGTTGAGGTCCCAACGGCTGTTCCTGAGGAGGGGCATGCCCTTGCTGTGATTGTTGCTGTTGTTGCGCACCCTGGGGCTGGCCTGGCTGGCTCTGCTGCTGGCCTGGCTGAGGAGGAACAAGACCTCCCTGACTACCACCAGCCATGATGCCACTAAAAAGACCATTGCCAGGAGCGATAGACGGAGGCTGCTGGGAGGGCGCTGCATGTTGAGGTGGGCCAGGAATGCCAGGCTGGATGCCTCCCTTTCGAGCAGCCTCGAGTTGGTGTCGCAGAGCACTGATCTCATCTTCATACCTGTGATTCGGGAGGTTAACGGGGATTCTAAATTACTGGCGTGAAAAGATCGGCTTACTTCTGCTTGAGGCTGAGATGAGTCTGCTCCATCTGGTACACCTTTTCACGGACCAGTTGCATTTCGCTGACTTGCGCGGCAACTAAAGATACACATGTGTTAGCTGGGGTGAAGGAAATAACGCGATATGAGCTATCGCCGTACGAGTAGTAGACATACTCTGATGCTCGTAGTTTTCCGTCGCGCGCATCTGAGTATCAAACTCGACCCTGATCTGGTCGAGCAACTCGTTCAGCCGAGTGGAATTGCCTTGGGGGCCGCCCCCCATGGCGCGATGCGGATACATCGACATTGCGCAAGGCGGGTCTCAGCGACGGGTAGTTCGAAAATGAGGCTCGTTGAGACGTAAATCAATTGCGGCGAGGTCGACGACGATGAAATCGTTTATCGCGCTACGCTTCGTGTCTTCGGCGTCGTCGAGGAGTTGGTGCGCGTCAGTCAAGTCGGTGACAGCGCGAGGCTGGGTGCCAAGTCAAGATTTGAGGATGTTGGCTAACGACGCCAGGCAATTACAGACGCGAACCAAGGAACACGAACTGGACAGATGCCGATAAAATTGAAGCGTGTGGACGCCCTTGATGAGCAAGGGCCAGCTCAGATATTCGTAGGATATGATATGCGCCGACGGGGTGGCCAGTTGTCGACGTTTCGGGTAGGATGTGATTAATTGTGATGATGTTTTGATGGAAGAGTAAGAGGGAGAAAAAAAGAGAGGCCCGGCCGAGGAGGAAACGGAAGCGAGTGGTGCTGAAGCAAGAACCCGACCTAAAGCATGGGCGTAGTGCATGGGTACCTTAGTAGATATCAGCCTCTAGCGGCTAGTCTCTAAGTGGGTCCCCACCCTCTGAGCCAGGTGGGTGCTAGGCGGTCCGGGGCAATCTGCGGGCTTCATTGGGTGGGGCTGCCCTGTGGCTGCATTGAATGGTTTGCTAGAAATACACCTTGCAACGCCTCAAAGCCTCAACGCCTCCCCTAGAGATCCCCCTTCTTTTGCTTTCTCGTTACAGTTTTTGGTTCTTTCGCCTGACGCTGTGACACCCTTTTTTTTTTTTTTTCGACGACAGCCTAAGACGGGTAGTTAGCGCACGCCCTTTTCCCTCCTGCTCCCCCTCCCTGTCACAGACCTAACCTTGGCACTTTGAGATGCCACGCTGGAGCAGAACGAACGCTATGCACTATACACAGATCCTGGAGTATTTATTGGAAGCGGGATCCTCCAGTCTCACGGGAAACTCGATTGCTGTTGAGGACGTGTGAACGGGCGAGCAAAGAGAGGTTTGACTTTTCTCATAGATGTTACAGTATGATTTTCTACTTACACCATCATTGGTATCATTCTCGGATCTTTGGCCGAGACTACCACCCTTGCCCTGATCATTGGCTTTGCGGATCGTTCATCTAGGCATTCTCCATCATAAACCTATTTGAGTTTATAGACTTTGAAGCCCGGGAGTTTATCATGGCGCAGATCATACTTTTGCCAAAACGTTCGAGTCTCTGAACCCAGAGGTCAGTGAAGAACGTCAGTTGTCGTTGACAGCAACAACTGGAGAACCATGCAAGTTAAAATAAGTTTAGCCCCCTTCCCACAACAACCCTTTCCCACCACATGCTGTCCCTTAGCTCAGAGATGCTTCCTCCGAGCCAATTGGGTGACGATGAGTGGACTGTACTCCTGTGTCTAACTTCTGCAGACCTTGCTTGCATCTGTGACAACACAACACAACAGAGCCGCGTCACCATCAAGTAAAACGGAAGTGGCAGGCAAGTCTCGTCGGATTTGACCAGTTTTGTGTGACATTCTGTGCAACGTTTAATGGAAGGTAACTGGTGCCACATGCCGCATCCTCTCGCCAATATGATGTATCGGTAATCATTATCAGAGAGAACGAATTGCGAGTGGATGATGGAGAATCGTGAGGGGCATCAAGAATTACGTTTGAAGGTTCATTTGTTCTGCTAACTCAAGTAACGTCACCATATTCGGATAATTTCTATTCCGACCAGAAAGTTGGTGGGCGATACACGACTCACAACGGCTGAGAAAATGATGATAAGGCTTAAGTAGCTGACTCGGGATAGGATTGAGTATCGCGCAGCTGACCTTTGTCATCATATTCAAACCTCCTGCGGGGTAGTCGACGCACCTAAGATACTAGGAGACCTCGCAAATATCCGATACGTTCGCAGTCGATTTACCATACATCCTTGAACCGTAACAGTACATATTGTCATTCGTGATCACTTGGTTATGCCCCAACAACAGCTTTCCTTTCACTCACGCTTAACCTTATGATAAATCTTGGAGCTTCTATGTAGTTCTCGAAAAGGAAACTCTAAGTTAAGTTCTCCTTTGCGCACTTAATAATGGATTGAATAATGTGGCCCAGCCGAGTGCAGATGAAAGTCATCGAGGTAGGGCAAACTTAAGAGGCGACGACGTTCTGCGTAGAAACAGTTCAAACCTTTGGCCCGAAGAATCGTAATTGAACTTAAAGATACAGGGTAGGATACCTTATATGGAGAGTCAGAAAGCGTGACCCGGCCAAACCAGGACTGTCAAGGGAATTCAGGAACAGCTATTCCCTCTTATACCCGAAAACCCGTGCGTGGGTTAGGGGTCCGAAGTCACCATACCAGAAGACGTCAGTTCATATTTGTTCCTGTGTGATACCGGTATTTCCAGGGTTTCCCCGACGTATTCGTTTCCGTATCTCCACGCTGTGTATGGATGAATTGATAATGCATTGTCGAACCATGATCTCGACTTTATGTGTTCAAAGAAAAAGTACCAAGAAAGCATGATGAATTGGATTACCATATTAAGATATTCCATCTTGGTTCTAAACTTTGCTCTGCCTGCGGTGCTATGAATACCAATTTGTAGTGAACTGTTAGTACTAGATATAGGTACCGCCTCCAGAACCTTTGCACAATGAAACATCACAACATGTCAATTCACTCAGAACAACATATTGTAACAATGTCAAACTATCTCATACCGTAGTGTTGCGGTGAAGATGTACCTTAACAACTTCCCCTTTTAAGGCTGAATACCCAGAGCTGGATCGTTCGACATCTCGTCTTCGTGATATCGGAAAATAAATGGTCCTCGATGCAAAGTGGAACTTCAATTCCAATTGTAAAATCCAATTGGCTGACAAGCATTCGGGCTCTGAGAAGCCGGAACAGACCACTTCCATCAACACAAGAAACGATATTGACCCTTGTTATTTTTTTGTGGTCGACGACTCGATGAGGCATTGGAATGTAGCTGAAGAGAACATTTGCTCGCCCGGGCTTGTTCGGAGCTCATCATGCGATTCTCATTCAAAGACGACCGTTACTGGCTCCGGTACTTGACGAATCTCATCTCGAGCATAGGAATTCTCCAATGAGAACTATAGAGCTTTCTGTATTCGTATTTACATTGTTGCGAGAATTCCATGTTTTGAATATCCCTCCACATGTATACATCGCTTCAATTGACTTCAATGGCAAAGACCCCTTCTTGTTCGTCTAAGTTACTAGGAGCTCCTCTTCTCGTACGTCCTACATCATAAGATAAATCTAGAAGCTCTCACATCCAAGCTCCCCAATTGGTTCAATCAAGCTCTAAAGACCCTTTCCAGAACTCCACTTGTCTCTGCATCCCTGACAGAAACAACGGCCCCGCCTCGCAAGCCGCCGATAGACCCTTGTAGTATCAGACAATGTGATTTCTTTTCCCTTGGTCGATTCATTGATAAAGAAGACGAGAACCCTTCTGTGAGTAAAGTTGTTTTTCTAGATCATTGCGTCTTGTAGGGGGTTCTCAGTAATTCTTTGTTCTGTGTGGTTGACTCTTAACTCTTGGGTTTGTGATAGTCTGTTGTTCACTTACACCAGTCTTCACCTCGTCACTTACAAGTGCACTCATTTAATAACCCGCGGCTTTATAACTTTTGCAACAAACCCAATTGCCGATCATGGACGTCGTCCTCGAGGTCGTCGATACCTTTATCGCCGATTACGCATACGCCTACTTTCACCCAAAACCTCCAGCTCCCTATGATTTCCCATCGCCCTCAAACTCGACCGATTCATCGGCCAAGGCTTTCTCAACATGGACCTACAAGCCGGCCACTCAATTCATCACGCTTGAGCCCGCAGAGGAGGCATACATGAGTGCTTGGGATCGCGATAACCCTCTTCGACAGGCTCTGACCCTATATCTTATCACTTGGTTAGTGTTCATCCTGATATTTACGGAATTAACTCAGCTGACATATCTTAGGATCTTTGGTCTTCTCGTCTACTTCATCGTAGCGACACTCTCATACATCTTCATCTTCGACAAGCGAACATTTGATCATCCTCGCTTCATCAAGAACCAAGTCCGACTTGAGATCATCGCAGCCAACAAGGCCATGCCTGTTATGGCCATCATCACAGCACCTTTCTTCCTTCTCGAAGTTCGCGGATACGGCAAACTATACGACACCACTGAAGATGGACCCGGGCTCTGGTACGACTTCCTCCAGTTCCCGCTCTTCCTCCTCTTCACCGACTTCTGCATCTACTGGGCTCATCGCTGGCTTCACCACCGCCTGGTCTATAAGTACCTGCACAAGCTTCACCACAAGTGGATCATGCCTACACCCTTTGCTAGCCATGCTTTCCACCCTCTCGATGGCTTCACCCAGTCGTTGCCATACCACATCTTCCCCTTTATCTTCCCGCTCCAGAAGATGGCATATGTAGCGCTTTTCGTGTTTGTGAACCTCTGGTCTGTCATGATCCACGATGGCGAGTATCTCACCAACAACCCCATTGTCAACGGCGCTGCTTGCCATTCTCTCCACCACTCTCGCTTTGAGGTCAATTACGGCCAGTTCTTCACTGGCTTTGACCGCATGGGTGGCACATATCTCATGCCTGAGCAGTGGATGTTCGAGCGGAATATGAAGATGTCAGAGGGTCGATGGAAGAAGGAGATTGAGAAGGTGGATGAGCTTATTGAAGAGATCGAAGGTAAAGACAACCGTACATACGGTTCGTCTAGCACGAAGAAGACCCAATAAATGTGCTTCTGGTTAGCCTCAAGTCCATTACCAATTTCTGGCACACCGGAATTGGTCAATTTCTAGGATCAGGACCAAATCTTGGACGTTCTCATCAGCAGAACAGGCACTTGTCGCTAAGCGTCAGTAAATGGCCCTGCCACTTGACAAGGTTGCTCACCCCCCAGCCTAGCGTCGGACATTCTTTGTATATAGATTTTGACCTTTGCATGGGTATACACTCACTCATGGCGTTTGGCGGAGATCACGATGATATGATGGATTCATCGATTGCATATTTGGTACTGAAAGATAAGAAAAGTACAATAGCTGACTGGGCAGACAGGAGTCTACTCAATTAATAATAACCATTTCGCATCCCACCTAAACTCCTTGCCTTGCAGATCGTAGATCAGTGCAGGCTGCTGATATCAAATCCTTTATTGAGCAATCCAACAAACGCTGTCGAAACATTTAAGGAAAAAGGACAACGCATGACAAATCAGGGAAACCAAAAAGACTTGAGAGGTGTAGGAAATTGCATCTGGTGTGCCAACGTAAAAGTGTTTTGCAAGTCAAGCAATCTATCGCTTTGACATCGTGTAGTTTTCGAATAATGTCGGAAGCATCAATCTTCGTAGGGTAGTAATAGTAATAATAATCGGAGAGTCGAGTTCGTAGTCGAATATCATCGTAATGCGCTACGTTTATCGTCGGTACTGCGCCCATTCACGCAACTCTTACGAGAAGCTCACGAACTTCGGATCCCTCGGTAATCCATCTGCGCCAATACCGTTGGCCTTGAATCGGTTCTCCATGTAGACCTTCCTCGCCTGGTCAAAGTTCATCCTTCTCTTCTTCATGATAGCAAGAACCTCAGCCTTGGCCGCATCATCGAGACCAGCGCGCGAATCGCCTGACTCGACATTTCCAGAGAGATCGAATGTATTGCTGGAAAGACCGGCCTCGATATCGCCTGCGAAACTGTTCGGGAGTCGCGAATAAATGTAGTCTGCGCCAGGGAGTCTGGGTCGCAGATGTTGAACGTGGGGGATCCAGTGGGCGCGGGTGAAGAAGAGGACTGTGCCGAGAACGAGGGCGAAGAAGGAGATCGAGTAGAGAAGATACAACATGTTGGGCGAGTTTGTATTAAGAGGAAGATCGGTAGTGGACGTCGATCGATAGATTTATGTGTAACGCAACGATGGGAAGAGACAAACGATCGGGGACAAAAGAAAGGAACGGCCAAGTCGCAGGCGTATAAAAGAGAATAGAAATTCAAAGTTGCATGATAAATAGCCCGTCTCTGGTAAAAGACGGTCTATAAAAAGTCGCAAGTGTAGAGTTTAATCGTGGTTGATAATTTCTCGCCCTCCGCAACGCAAGGCAAGGTCCGGATTTGAATAAGTGCAAGTGGAAGTACAGCAATAAAAGTGAAAGTCGAGCCTCCTTCCCTTTGTCTCAGGTATGGAAATGCTGACGTGACTCTGTTTGCGAGGCCTCGGGCTCCCTCTCCCAATCAATTAAGCCACGCGTTTCTGGCTTGGCACAGCCGCTACAGACACAAGGACACGCAAGTTGGCAGCGAAGTTGTCTGTTAAGAGATAGAGAACATACGCTGTAACATAGATTTCAATCACTGAACCGAGTAATGTACTATTACAATGGAATGAGCTTTGAATGTCTTATTTTATGACATCAGCGGTCGTATCAACCATTCGCCTTTCAACTTTGTTCCAATGAACCCACTGACACTCTGGCCCAGTCTTTCGATACTCCCGTCGGCCCCCTTTGGTCCAGCAAAGTCAGCATGGGTGTTTAGCCCTGTTTGGCATACTAGGCGAGCCCCACAATTTCTCTACGCACAATTTCCAAGCCGACTTTGGTGAACAGTCTTTGGAACTGGATATCTCGACGACGACAACCTCAAGCTTCACTCTCCCCGGTCAATTTTCACGCCAAAATCTCCATTCACAATGTCTACCGCCCAGGAGCTCTCCAACATTTCCTCGGACCTGATCTGGGAGATCGTCCGTGAGTCTCCCTTCGACGATTTTCTCATCTGATATGAAATTGAATTTTGGCCTACGATATGCGCCTTGATATTGAAGAAGTCAATTACTGAAACGTTTTTGCGATCGCGCAGGTGACAACAACTGCTTCTCTGCCAAGAGCAAGAAGAACGGCGGTGTTCAGTTCTCCCGAGACCCCCTTAACCTGACCAACAAGACCTCTCGCAAGGTACGATTCTGTTCTGGAGTTTTGATACCCTCTTGGATATTTGAGGGGTCATGGAAGATCGTGTGCGCTAACTCACCTCACAGCACGCTGGTTTCGTCAACGACAAGGTACGACCACAACAACCCCGATGAAAACGTCTCGACTCGATGAACGTACGATGCTAAACAAACCGAATTAATAGGCCCTCGGTATCTCCTCTGGCGAGAAGGGTGCTATTGTTGTCACCTCCAAGAAGGCTCAGCCCAACAAGCCCGCCCAGAACCTTGTCAAGACCTCTTACAGCGGATCCAAGAGCAACCGCAAGTGAGTATTCGGCTGCCCACGCCGTCGTTGTTATTCGACAATGAGCATTTGTGGAACGGGGCTGACCGCGATTCCTTCGTACAGGACCTACCAGGCTGTTGCCAACCAGGCTGCCAAGAACGGTTACCGTGCTGACCTCCGCTCCGCTGCCGTTGAGCGTGCCTCCGCCCTCAAGAAGTCCAACAAGCCCGTCAAGCCCGAGCCCGAGCAGAAGCTCCGTGGCAACAAGGCCAAGAAGGCCGCCGCCGCCGCTGAGGAGAACTAAGCTGTCTAATACCAAGATAGAAATGTATTGTGAATAAGGCTGGGGCATGAAGCTAGGGAGGCAAGCTGCATAGCCCACCACTGATGAAAAAGGGATCAGTATGGGAATAGCACATGAACCCGAGGTCTCTGGGTCATTCACGGCTGGAGTTATTGAGCTCAAAATGAATGAATATCTCGTCGACGCTATCGTCGGCAACCCAAACTCTGCGTCTCAGAACAAAAGCGTGCATATGTGTGATCGTATGATGAGGCCATGTCAGCACCCATTGAGGCTCAACTACTCTTCAACGTATCTTTAGTGACGTAGCACAATGGGAGCCTCGGCCAATAATTATATGCGTCTGACGTGACAAGTCTGAACAAAGTCTGCACTAACTAGTTCACTGATCTTCGGTGGAGGCTCACGATGTTGTCTGGATGTATAAGTGCGAGGCGGTAGATTTCGGGTCATGACTTCGGTACCACGGGATACCGAGGATCATGCCGAGTGTCAAGGCGCCGAGGATCCTCATGAATGCGATTCAAAACGTCACCGTCCCGGATAAGTTCGGAGCAATATTTTGAGCAATAAGATCATATATCGGAAAGTTTTGATGCTCAAGACCTCATGTAGCCACAACCCGGAATTAGTTTTCTTCAGTTAGACGCATGTCAATCTCCAGACGCTGACCGAGATGAAGGGCTCGAAACATGGTTGGTGCAATAGACGCAAGTCATCCACCGAAGTCAGTTTCTGAACGACAAATATCCGGCTTCCATACGATACGAGGCAAATCAACATCCGGATGCTGGAGGCTGTCATCCACGGAAGTATCGGAAAAAGACGAAACTTGTTTGACAACATGTCCAAGAATCGTGATGATGTTTCAAATGACTTGGCTTATACTCAAGGTGAGCTACTAACAACCAACCACCAAGGTTGCAGAGATGCATTGCGAAATTACCATATTTGGTAACGGGGAGGGATCAGCCGCCCCCTCATCTTGGTGGCTTGAACATTTAGTTTGTTGATTTTCTGCAAACAGTGAAGTCTTGTAACGAAAGGGCATTGTCCACTTATAAGTTAAAGACCCTGTAAGGGAAGAAACAGAGCGAGTGAGTAATACACAAAGTGGGGTTTACACGATAGGATTACCAACACTTTCACATGAGCGACTTGTTTCATTACCCTCGTGGAGCTTGGTTGGACAATTGAGTTTGGATCTGGTGTGCTCGCCGGAGTTGGGTCGGGGTAAAGATCGCTCCCAACTCGGGGTTGCGACGGTCAGGCCCGGTGAGTTGTCCAGAGCTGTCGAGTTGGAGGTGCAGGGGATTTTTGGTCCCTGGACAGCCTTCCCCACGGGACGCTGGATGTGAAGGTTCAGGTTCCAGAAGCGAACCAGACCCAGGTCCGCGATCATTAGCATGGGCTGTCAAGACACGATTGATCCATCGTCAATATTGATTGGTATAAGACCCAATCGAATGCAGCGGACGATGGGGGATTTGATGCATGAAGTGGCCAGATGTCGTTCTCCATCAGAATTTATAGCCCTATTCATAGACCCCCAAAAGAGAAAAGGAAAACAGCATAGGGCGCTTGCGCACCAGTCTCAGCACAAGGCTTTGCGCCAAGTATTGCGCCAGGTCTCTGACAACTGGAGCGGGTCGCCATTGCGAATCAAAGTGGGCGGGCGAGAGGGGAGAAACATCGATGGGTGAAGGGAAGGAAGAAAATCCATGATGGTGGAGGCATGTAAGATAGGTAGTCTGAGATAATATCATGAGTATTAGCAAAAGCCCCTCCTGCCACCATCAAAGTCCTCCGGAACTGTGGATGATATTAGGACAGTAACGTAATTATTCGAAATGCAAACTCGTGATAGATGGTAATAAGCAATCAAGAGCTGGCGAAAGAGAGGCGAGATGATGATGCCGCTCCTCTTGGTTCGCCTGTTCAATAGGCCTGGCAATGGGCAGTGGGTTCTGGATTGTGGATGATGCCCCTCAATTGTTGATGATAGCCATTGACCCTTGCAAGGAGGGGTTTCCTTGAGCGTGCATTGAACTGGAACCCCACTAGAGCTCTCATAAAGTTGCACAGCTCTTTTCTGTCGCTTTCCCCGCTCGACATCTGGCACCTTGGCTGTCGCACATGTTTGCGCAGAAAAGATGGAGGGAAATATAGACGCCTGTGATAATCTCGGACATGTAAATTTGCCAGCCCAGCCCAGCCCAGCCCAGCCCAGCTCCGTGAATCGCCGCAAAGGTTTCCGGTCAGCTCGGAGAGAATAACTCGGGCACTGTAGTAATAGAGAAGTGCTATGATGCCTTAGCAAGGGGACTGTATCCATTAGAATACGTCGGGAGTGTCTCAGCGGCTTGAAGGGTACCCGTATGGGTATGGAGAGGTGTAAGGTATCTGGAACTAACTCACCTTAGTAGACTACGGCAGGTATCGCCGTGGTGGTTGCCGCAGTGTACCTTACCAGTACTGGCCAGTCCAGTCCAGTCATCGCTTGTTCTCCTCCGTCGTGTCGCATTAACCACCCTCGAGCTCTTCCTCTACATTACTTATTTGAGCCCTCTCCCACTTCTTGACCCTCCTCCCACTCTCCTCATTCTTCCCACATCTTGACTCTTCCATCCAAGCTCATCTTCTCTCTTTTTGCAAAGCCTCAACAGAGCAACTACTCCTCCCTCAATCCCAATATACTTATAAAATCAGTCAATATGGTCAAGGCTGGTACGTACGAGCGCCGTCTCACTCATCCCTACACCTTGATGTCTACCTATGATATTCGCGCTCTTCACGCCTTTATGCTGTCTCTCAGTACTCCTTAGAACAATAATTGACGATTTGTTTAGTTGTTGCTGGCGCCTCTGGTGGCATTGGTCAGGTACGTCCAAACTTGCTCACTCAAACCTTGAAATTGCATCAGCTAACATAGATTGATATACAGCCTCTTTCTCTTCTTCTTAAGACATCCCCTCACATCGACGAGCTCGCTCTTTACGATGTCGTCAACACCCCTGGCGTTGCCACCGATCTCTCCCACATCTCTTCCCGCGCCGTGAGTCGACCCCGGATTTTCCCCAGTCGAACATGCATAATTCCCTTCCACCGAAACACACTATTTGCTCACACCCTTTGCAGAAGACAACTGGCTACCTTCCCGCCAACGATGGCGCTAAGGCTGCTTTCAAGGACGCCGACATTATTGTCATCCCCGCTGGCATTCCCCGTATGTAAAGCTCTTACCCCGGACATCCGGCGTTGGTCCCCGCGTGCCCGACCGACCCCGGAGCCCCTCCCCCAATTTTTACTCTACTGACCACGTCCCCCGCACAGGCAAGCCTGGTATGACTCGTGACGATCTCTTCAACATCAATGCTGGCATTGTGAAGGGTCTCATCGAGGTTGCCGCCGAGGTCGCCCCCAAGGCCTTCATCCTCGTCATCTCCAACCCCGTCAACTCTACCGTCCCTATCGCTGCTGAGGTCCTCAAGGCCAAGGGCGTCTTCAACCCCCAGCGTCTCTTTGGTGTCACCACCCTTGACATCGTCCGTGCCGAGACCTTCGTTGCCGAGATCACTGGCAGGGCTAACCCCCAGGAGCTGACCATCCCCGTCATTGGTGGTCACTCTGGAGAGACCATCGTCCCTCTTTTCAGCAAGGCCTCGCCTGCCGTTCAGATCCCCGACGACAAGTACGATGCCCTCGTGAACCGCGTCCAGTTCGGCGGTGACGAGGTCGTCAAGGCCAAGGATGGTGCTGGCAGCGCCACTCTGTCAATGGCTTATGCTGGTTTCCGGTAGGTTGCCTTACCACTTCACGTTGTTTCACTCAGTAACTAACATGGCTGTAGATTCGCCGAGAAGGTTCTCCGTGCCGTCAAGGGCGAGAAGGGACTCGTCGAGCCTAGCTACGTCTACCTTCCTGGTGTCCCTGAAGGTGAGGCCATCGCTAAGGAGACTGGCAACGACTTCTTCTCTGTTCCCATTGAGCTCGGCGTAAGTTGCAGATTGTTTCGTTTCTAGGTGGGAAATGTGCTAATATTACATAGCCCAACGGTGCCGAGAAGGCCAGGAACCCCCTGGAGGGCATCACCGAGAAGGAGAAGGCTCTTCTGGCCAAGGCCAACGAGGGTCTCAAGGGCAACATCTCCAAGGGTGTCAGCTTTGTCCACAACCCTCCCCAAAAGTGAATACCCCCCATTTGATATCTTCCCTAATACCCAGTAAGAGGCTTCCAGAGCAGGCAAGGACACTCTTGAGGAGGCCCATAGCTATGGCGCTAGACATAGTAATATGAGTCATGAGCACGATTGCTGATGATATGACTTTGCGCAGGCTGTGAAATGTTCCGGGCGATGATTTACGGTCGATGTCTTTATAGTCCCTGAATCTTGGGGACTGCTGCAGGTATGATTGGAGTTTTGGTCAAGGGTTGGTCTAAACCATGGCGATATTTAGCTCTTGCGCGTTCATGGCACTCGTTGGTCGGATGTTTGGCGTGCTGTGCCCGGACTTGGTAAAAGGGTATCATGGTATTATAGCTAGACAGACAAATCCCTCAGGGCTTGTTTGGTATGGTTTTAATCTGAAACACGGCTCCCGGCAACTCGTTGATCTCGGCTTGGACACTGGTGTTGATTCCAAGGGCAGCCAGTGCACCCCGTACGACACCGCATGGGAACCATAAGAACTGCAGGGCATATTAAGTCAATACATAAACATGTTATATGAAGAGACCGGGCTGTATGGGATCATACCGGTTGTGCGCGAACGATTGCTTGGCCGCCAGCTTCAGTGCTCATACGTGAGAAGGGTCGGAATAGGTTGTCGGTCAATACGTAGACTCCCTGGCTCAATATTAGCGTAATATTCTCGTACCACAGACATAGGAAACAAACTCTGTGATTTGTCTTCAGGTTGTCAATATTCTTGCCAAATACCAGCGTCCAAAGATCTTTGCAGAGGAATTTGATGACGTCGAGTGTATCGTTGAATCGTGGTCGGTCTCTCGAGAATCTGTTATGGTGTAAGTCATCACGGTGTAGTGGACCCCAAATATCGATGCGCACCTCTCTACGAGACCCTGTCCAACTCTGTAACCTAACATCTCAAGGCGATAATGCACTGCGTCCATATCCTCTTCCTCATCCTTCCTTGTCGCAGTACCAGCCATTATCCCGGCTGCGCTGGAGCTAACTGCATGGCTGGTTGAGGCAGTATCTGTGGGGGCGCCATTTGATTCTGACGTGATGGAGTCTCGCTCATGAGTAACGCGGTAGGCCATAGGAACGAGCTCAATGAGGAGAAAGTCGAGACAGGAGGAGCTGAGGAAGTTGGCGGATGGATCGCTCGAGTTAAAGGGAGGCATGACGGGTTCGAAAGACATGATGGGCGACTTGGTGGATTTCACTTAAGATCATCAATATCAGAGAATGCGCGGAGCTATATGCGACCTGGAAAATGAATTCAATATTCGTGCGTGTGGTAAATGAAGGACGTCGTTTGCGTCGAACTCAAAGGGATACGTACTTCTAAGCTCAGCGAAGTGCTCTCCTGGTTCCAGCGGATTGGAGCTTCAAGCTCGCTGAGTCAGCATGCTAGATAACGATAAGCTGATAATGAAAGGCCGGAGGGTCTATCTAACGCGGGGCTCAATAGGAGGGAAAGAGCGAAGAGCGCGGGGCAGTATGAAAAGTTAGAAAAAGTTTGGTGTAGGTGCAGAGTCAGTTCGAGTCTAGTTCAGTCCACCACCAACTTTTGTCTCTTTACAGAGCTGGTTCCTCTCAAAGGAATCAATTAAGGTAAGCAACATTCGAAATTCGAGTGTTTATATAAAATACTGACTATTTGCCCTCTTAGTATCTATAAAGACCTTTGGTCGAGAACCTCTGTGGACCGATTCTCCCCGCCGAATTTCGGAATCGCATTCGTACCAATTCTTTTCCTCGCACATATTCTCACGAACCGACATGGCGGACCTTCGAATTCTGCTCATCGGCAACGGCGGCCGTGAGCATGCTCTGGCTTGGAAGCTCAGCCAGTCTTCTCGAGTTGAGCAGATCTTTGCTGTCCCCGGTAACGGAGGAACTGCTGGATGCCCCAAGACCTCAAACGTCTCTTCAGTCAAGGCTGAGGATTTTGCTGGTCTTGTCAAGTTCTCTCAGGAGAACGGTGTTAGCCTTGTTGTTCCTGGCCCCGAGGCCCCTCTCGTTGACGGTGTTGAGGGATGGTTCCGAAAGGCTGGTATTCCCTGCTTCGGTCCCTCCAAGGAGGCTGCGCGACTTGAGGGCAGCAAGACCTACTCCAAGGATTTCATGAAGAAGTACAACGTTCCTACTGCTGCTTATGAGAACTTCTCCGACTACAATAAGGCCGTTGCCTACGTCGATAGCGTCGACCATGACGTCGTCATCAAAGCCACTGGTCTCGCTGCTGGAAAGGGTGTTATCATTCCCCAGACCAAGGATGAGGCCAAAGCTGCTTTGAAGCAGATTATGGTTGACAAGGAGTTCGGTGATGCTGGTGATGAGGTTGTCATCGAGGAGCTTCTCATTGGTGATGAGCTCAGTGTTCTTACTTTCTGCGACGGCTACGCTATCCGATCTCTGCCTCTCGCCCAGGACCACAAGCGCATCTTCGATGGAGACCAGGGCCCTAACACTGGTGGCATGGGATGCTATGCGCCTACAAACATTGCTACCAAGGAGCTTACTGAGCTCATCGACCGTGAGATTCTCGAGCCCACTATCTCCGGTATGCGACGAGAGCAGCAGCCTTTCCGTGGTGTTCTCTTCACTGGTCTCATGATCACCAGCAAGGGACCCAAGGTTCTCGAGTACAACGTCCGATTCGGTGACCCTGAAACACAAACCGTTCTTCCTCTTCTCTCTGCCGACACTGATTTGGCTGAGATCATGCTTGCTTGCGCCAACGGCTACCTCGACAACTGCAAGCTTACCATTGAGAACAAGTTCAGCGCCACTGTTGTCCTTGCTTCTGGTGGTTACCCCGGTTCTTACCCCAAGGGTAAGGCCATGTCTGTTCAGACTCCTCCCGCTGGCTGCAACATCTTCCACGCTGGTACCACACTCGACAGCACTGGTCTCAAGACATCTGGTGGTCGTGTCATCGCTATCAACGCTGTTGGCGACTCTCTCCGAGCTGCTGTTGATGCTGCTTATGCCGCTCTTGACAAGAAGGTCATTGAGTTCGAGGGTGCTTTCTACCGAAAGGATATCGCTCACCGGGCTTTCCGCTTAACTGCTCAGACCTCCATGACTTATGCTCAGGCTGGTGTCGATATTCAAGCCGGCAACGACTTTGTCGAGAAGATCAAGAAGGCTGTTGCCAGCACTAAGCGACCTGGAGCTGATGCTGAAATTGGCGGCTTCGGTGGTGAGGTCGACCTGTCTCAAGCTGGTTACCCTCAAGCTCCCATTATCGTTGGTGCCATTGACGGTGTTGGTACCAAGCTCATGATTGCCCAGGCCATGAAGAAGCACGACACCGTTGGCATCGATCTGGTTGCCATGAACGTCAACGATCTCGTTGTTCAGGGTGCTACCCCTGTTATGTTCCTCGACTACTATGGATGCAGCAAGTTGGATCTCTCTACTGCTGCTGACTTCGTTCAAGGTGTTGCTGATGGTTGCCGACAAGCTGGATGTGCCCTTGTTGGTGGCGAGACTGCTGAGATGCCTGGCATGTATCAGAACGACGACTACGACGCTGCTGGTTGCGCTGTCGGTACCGTTACTGCTGACATCAAGCTTCCTCGCAAGGATGACATGGCTCAAGACGATGTCCTCCTCGGTCTCGGCTCTGCTGGTGTCCACTCCAACGGTTTCTCCCTGGCCCGTCGCATTGTCTCTCGCGCTGGCCTCAGCTACACTGACCCTGCTCCCTGGGACCAGTCCACCACTGTCGGCGAGTCCCTTCTCACTCCCACACGAATCTACGTCAAGTCTCTCCTGCCCATCCTCTCTCACATTAAGGGTCTTGCTCACATCACCGGTGGCGGTCTCGTCGAGAACGTTCCCCGTATGATCCCCGAGTCTCTCGCTGCTGAGATCGAGTTCGGCTCATGGGAGATCCCTCCTGTATTTAAGTGGATGCGCGAGGCTGGCAACGTCGAGCCCATCGAGATGTGCCGCACCTTCAACTCTGGTGTTGGTATGGTCATTGCTGTCGACCCCGCAAAGGCCGACAGCGTTGCTCAGGCTCTTACCGATGCCGGCGAGAAGGTGTACCGCATCGGTCGTCTCACCCGCCGTGATCAGGGCGAGGCTTGCTTGATCCACAACGTTGACTCGTGGAAGGCTGAGACAGCGGTGCCTAGTAAGAGAAAGGACATTGGAGCATAATTGGGTAAAGCGATAAGAAAAAAGTATGTGCGATTTATGGAGTCAATTGGGTCATGATGGGATAGGAATTTGGTTTAAAATCAGGGTTGAATGTGATGATTTGAAGGTGAGATAGAAGGCATGGTCGAGATGATACTCCTCTTAGCCTATACACACGAATGAAAAATGATTCGTGCGTTTTTTGATACTCACGTTTTCCTGTGAGAAGAATTTGCAGTTCACCAAATGATTTCGTCGTGACAACATTGGCTCGCGACATGTACAATTGGCAGACTTGGTATTCCTTGCTTTCCATGACGTCCCCATTATGGAATGAGAACGTATGGAATAGGCTGCTAGTCTTTCTATTGGCCCCTGTTATGTTTGAAACTAGAACCTTGTCTCGTAAAGTAAATGCCCTTAACGACTGATCCTCTTTATTTTAAATACTCCCTTACACCTCGCGAAAACAACCGTGATAGCAATGCCGGGAATTGACAGGGGAATCATTTTCCGTCTCCTCCAACGCCGGATCAGAACATGCCAAAGTAAAAATCATCAACCAACACCCCTAGTACCAAGCAGTTAGATAGCCTGTCCTCCTAGGACATATTTCACTGCTACCATAGACTCTCTAAAGAGTCTTGCGATTCCGTCCTCTATGTTTCTTGCGTCCCTGAGGACGAGCATCCTCCTAAAGATACCCGAGATCACCTGGCGAGATCGGAGAGTTGCTAGGTAGGTTGCCTGAGTATTCGTTCATTGAGGTGTTTTGCCTTTTGGGGGGCGGGGGCAGATCATCATCATCGTCAGAAAGCGTTAGGTCGATGATAGCGGCCATTGGGCGTTTCGCGCTGGTAGATGCTATGCCTCTTGGTCCAGCAGAAGACGACACATCGCGACCTGCTGTTGCTGGCGTACTAATGGTCGGTGTAGAGATCTTGGGCGTCTCTAAACGGCGGTGACCAATTGAATTGACCTCTGATATTACCAGGTCGTCATCATCATCGTCAAAGGTATTTGTGTAAGATGAGTTGCCATTTGTGTGCCCTTGACTACTGTCGTCAGTGCTCTTGAGATGCCATTCACCATTGGGCTCAATGGTCACAGTTTCTTGACTCTTTGGGGTCTTTTCAAGGATGTCTTTAACATATCTGTTCAGGGTTAGAAAAGGAAATCCTTTCAAAGTCATTACTTATAAGACTTACGCGTCGACCGCCAACTGCTCAAAAGTTGCAGACTTGTTACAAATGGGACATTGCCATTGCGGACCTTGTTCTTGCAGCTGAAGATAAGAAGTGGCATCGAAGCATTGCAAATGTGTGCAGCTCAAGCCACGACAAGGGAGTGCTAATCGCATGTATGACAATGGGCATTTGAGAGATAGCACTTGTGAAGTTGCTACCACATCAGGATCTTGTGCTTTGGCGTTGACTAATTGCATGTCAGTGGCGGCTCAGTAGTGTTGGACAAGTGGTGGCACTTACGTTCTTGCTTTACAGAATCAATCGATATCTTCTTGCCATTGGCGATGCGCTCCACAAGCTGTTCAACAGATGTTATCTTGCAAACATGTATCACAAGGTAGAAATTCTGTATTCACTGTCAGACTATGAATGGAACAATGCTTGTCCGTGATACTCACCTTGGAGGTCAGTGCATATGTGAATTCCACATTGTTGGTATATTTTGGGCGAAGACGAAGCGCTTTTGTGATGTCAACCGGTCTAGTAGATCCAGGTTTATTCTTCAAGCCGCGCAAATTGGCCTTGACCTCGCCACCGTTGACCTTGAGTTCTGACTGGTGAGGAAATGCGACATCTTGCGTTCCTAAACAATCTCCGGCGCAAAAGACCATCACTCGGTACGAAGGGTCGTCAACGCACTTCTGTAAAGCAGGATGATCGTCTAGTCTGATCGGATAGGTTATCGTGTTACGGTGCTGCGACATGACTTGACAGGGGTGTCAGTATGAACAAGTCGGGTAAGGTACACAGAAATACGCGCAGAACATACCATCGCAAGTCTTTATATCACCAGCAACGGCCTCGATCTGATAAAAAGGGCTCGGTTTGAAGGCGAGTGTCACTGACGAGCTGAAGTTAACCACAGAGCGCTGACCATTAGACAGGCTGCCGTGGGTGTTAGGGAACGACATGCTGTGCAACCCGAAAGGTGTTGAGGGAGCATGACCATGTGAAATCGAGAAGTTCGATCGAGAGGGCGAAGATCCGGTCTGAGAGTTCGAGATCGTATTGTGCACGCTCTGGCGAATCTGCTGTAGGCGCACGGGATCGTTGGCGTTGACGGCTTCTTGGATGACTGGTGGCGAAGTGGGCATGATTAGCTATGATACTGAGGAGTTTGAAGCAGTGATTCACAGCCAAATAAGCATGCGATAGAGGGATAAAGGCATCGCGCAGTGCAGACGAAAACAAGAGTGAATTGTGTATGAGCAGACTCTAAACTTACGATTATGTATGCGACGTTGTAGCTCAGCCTTGATGCCAGTACTCTTGACTCCATTAACCTGGCACACAGAAGAGAGTTGGCGATTTAGCAAGCGATTTACTTGTCGCGCAAGAGAACCCGCTTCTGATCGAAGATTTGCGTGCGCATTTGTTGAGTGCGAGGGCGCGGCCGTAGTCGACCCAAAACCTGCGGAAGCCATGTCGAGGGTCGTTCCTTCCGTTTATCGGTCGCTAATGTTTGCGTTTTCGGGTCGAGGAAGGTAGGTATCGTTATCGAGGGAGAATATGCGTGGAGGCAGGTGCAGCCAGTGTTGGGCGCGAACAGTGGTTGTGGAAGTCGCGCAACGGCATCCAAGGCAGATGCGCAGGCTGATCGGGTGCAGCCTGTATTGGTTGTATCAGGTTGAATCGGAAAGAGGTACCGTGAGAAAGAGTGCGAGTGAGTGGCTGAGTGAATGGAAGAGTGCGAAAGGAGATGAAAGTTACATCTGAAGAAGAGCAAGGCACAATCGGATTATATAATGAGCCCTCCACTTTGACACTGAACATGAGATATATCAATCGACTATCTCAACCACCGCGCGTGCTCTAAACTCGTCGTCGTCCTTTCACGCTATGTCATGTTTGCCCAGTCTTTAGAGTGTTGTCGCACAGGAGTCCAAGAAGAGAAGGCGGTCATCACTGGCACAAGCAGGGGGTGAACTAGGATCCAATGTCTCAGTGATCTTTGCTTAGGTACCTTAGCCACACACACCGCCACAGTCAAACTCACTACTGCCCCTCGGTAAGGTAGCTTGTCCCAACTTTTTTTTTCTTAGCAGCAAGGGACTTTGATAACGACTTTTACTCAAGCATCCATCTTCAACCATATCGACAAAATGGCAAAGAGCGCACGAGCAAGCACCAGAAAGGCTAACAACAGGCGCCTTGTTAAACACGTTTTTGGTCCCGCTGAGGCTGCACGAAATGAGCGTCTTTCTGCTAAGCTCCTTGAGTTGGCCAAGCAGCCCAAGCCTGAGTCTTCAGATGTGAACATGAACAGTGAGTGAGATGGTACAACCTCAAGACAATTAAGCGCTAACATATTCTCAGCACAAGAAGAGGACATCAACGATGATGCCAAGGAGGATGTTCAAGACAATGAAGCCACATGTGAGTTAGGACAAAAACATCTATCTCATTTATATTCACTAACATGTCTAGCAATGGATGTGGACTCAAAGAAGCCTTCAAGTGGTCGCATTGAGAAGAAGCGAGTCGACAAGCGCAAGCAAAAGTCTTCCAAGATTGTTTTCAAGTCTTACGGTGGTCGATCCAAGGGCAAGAAGAAGAGCTCTTAGACTAAACTTGGGGTAAAATTGTTTTCTGGTCTTTGTTCTGGTTTTCTTTATCCATTCATCGGCGTTTAGCAGCAAAATCTAAATCAATCTGAATCTGTGATACCCGAAATTTCCATCTAGATTTGCCCCTCAGCCTTGTGTGGCTCAACATTCAATTTGAGTTGGCTAGCCAATCACACTACTAGCTTCAACCACCACCTCTTTGGTTCGTCTTGGCAAGGCTATCGTAAAGGTTGTCGCGCTCATCTCGACACGTCCATCACTTCTACAGCTGACACATTTAACTGTTCCATATAATGATGGCGCATTATTGACAGGGTATTTTCTATATACATACGTTCTTCGACCTCGTCTTAGTCACTCCTTTGTTTTATTCTATATTCGTCTTTTATAATGGTGTCCTCTCGTAATGGCTCGCTATTGCGCACTCTGTTGCTCGTTGCAGCCAATCTTCTAATCCCGGTCTCAATTATCGTCTTTGCGCTGGGCTTCTTCCCTTATAAACCGTTCTTACCAGGACTGGCTGAATTTGAGTCTCTTGACTTTGGATCGCCTCCTGATGCGCCATTTGATCGTTTAATATTTATGGTTGTCGATGCCCTCAGAAGGTAGAGCTTTAATGAACCCCAACTATCTCACTTTGAACTCTCCATTGACCTCACTTGTAGCGACTTTGTATACTCGGACGCCTCGGGATTTGATTATGTTCAAAGGTACTACAGAAAATTTGTATCTCATGTCATTAATGCTTGTACTTATCAAATTCCAGCCTCATCCGAGATGGCAGCGCAATGCCTTTTACAGCCAATGCCCGCTCACCCACAGTTACTATGCCGAGAATCAAGTCCATGACAACCGGCTCAATTCCTTCGTTTGTTGATCTTATTTTAAACTTTGACGAGGCAGATACTTCATCAACACTCGCATCTCAGGATACTTGGTTAGCTCAGATTAAAGCCAAGGAAATGGGCAAGCTTCTCATGTACGGAGATGACACTTGGCTGAAGTTATTTCCTAATACTTTCGATCGTGAAGATGGAACTTCTAGCTTCTTTGTAGCGGTTTGTGACCTGACATATAGTTCTCATGTTCAACCTGACTGACATCTAAATAGGACTTCACAGAGGTTGACAACAATGTCACCAGAAACATTGCCCCTGAACTTGAGAACAATGAGTGGGGTCTCATGGTGCTTCATTACCTTGGTCTAGATCATATCGGGCACAAGGCCGGGCCAAAAAGGTTGGTTTCACTAACGATAAATGACATTATCAGCAAACTAACATGTCAAAAGCTCGAATATGTTTCCCAAGCAGCGTGAGATGGACAGCGTTGTCAAGACTCTTTTCGAAGCTATGGAGTCCAAGCCTCACCTAGGCTCGACACTGCTCGTTCTTTGCGGTGATCATGGCATGAATGATGCTGGTAACCATGGTGCTTCTTCACCAGGCGAAACCTCGCCCGCCCTGGTTTTCATGTCTCCAAAGCTGAAGACAATCTCCTCTAAACTCCCTGCGCCAGCTCAACCCAAGGACGAGTTTGACTACTACTCCATGGTCGAGCAATCTGACTTGGCGCCTACGATTGCCGCGCTTTTGGGTTTCCCAGTGTCCAAGAACAACCTTGGAGCCTTCATCCCTGATTTCCTCCCCTTCTGGCACAAGACCAGCGATCAGATTCAGATTCTAGTTCGAAATGCTCGACAAATCCTCAACATTGTTACAGCTGCTTTTGGAAGTGAGCTCTTCGACGCACAGAGTAGCGTTGATCCCTGTGCCCTTGAGCAGACTGAAATCAACGAACTGGCGTGTCAATGGCGAAGGATCAACAAGGAGGCCCATGTACTCGCAGCTGGTAATAAGCTGGACCAAAAATGGCTTGATGACATGTCACAGTGGCTCCGTCGAGCCCAAGATCTGATGAGCAGCATGGCTTCGAACTATGACATGCCCAAGCTTTACATTGGCCAAGCGATCGCTGCTGTTGCAGCTATTGCAAGCACAGTTGTACTTGTTGGTCTTGGGACTCATCGAGATGGTCAAATCCTTCTATTCAGCCTCATGACATTATCTTATGGTGCCATGATGTACGCGAGTAGTTATGTTGAGGAGGAACAGCACTTTTGGTACTGGTCTTCTAGCATTTGGCTTGTAATTCAAGGAGTGCTTCACATCCGAAGGTACGCATTGTCAAACACGACATGACTTTTGCATACTAACCAAGTTACTAGGAGAAACAGTCTCACTGATATCGCTTGGGTCTTCGTTACACTTGCAGCTTTGAGGATCACTAGAGGGTGGAATCAAACTGGCCAAAAGTTTGCAGGAAGTTCTGACATTGTCAAGAGTTTCATCGTCACGCGTCCTCAACTTCTCTGGGCTATCATCACTTTTGGATACATTATCGTGTCATTCCGCTTGCTTGCCCGTCTCAAGAGTCTTCCTTCTCTGGCCAGCACAAGCACTACCTCGATTCTGCTCATGTCTGCTTACAGCTTCAAGCTTGACTTCACGAGTGAGGATGCCCCGGAGCTTGTTGTTGGCTTCGCCAGAAGCTTGAACGACATGTTTGTGGGACAGTCGTTACTTTGGAGGGCCAGGACTGCCTTTATTCTTCTTGGCCTTTTGTTTGGATATGGCATCTATCGGTCGTTTACTGGTGGTCGAAATGGCCAGTTACAGTCAGGTAACATCTCTCAAACACTATATCTTTACTATGGTCACTGACTCGTTACAGCATACCTTTTCCATCATCTTTATACCATCTTCGGCATGGCCCAGTCTCGTGCTACAAATATTCCGCTCTTCTTGCTCTCTGACATCCTCTTCCACGCACTCCAAGCCACTGACCTCTCCGTAACTGGAATCACTATCACGGCTATTCTTCTCCAGTACACAACATTTTTCGCCTTCGGTGGCTCAAACGCCATCTCCTCCATCGACCTTTCCAGCGCATACAACGGTATCAGTGGCTTCAATTTCTTTGCCGTTGGCTTCCTCACCTTGGTCAGCAACTGGGCTGGGCCTATCTTCTGGACATCTGCTGCCAACCTTCTCCTACTGCGCAAGTACCACGACGGCCAGCGCAATGCCTTTTGGCAATATATTACTTTGCAGACTGTCTTTGTCTCTACGACAGTTGCATTAGTCATGGCTGCTTGCACATCACTAAGAACTCATCTCTTTATTTGGACAGTCTTCTCGCCCAAGTATCTCTACTGTATGGCTTGGAGTCTTGGTCAACACTTGCTGATCAACGTCGGTTTTGGAGGTCTCCTATTTTGGTTGGGGACGCGTAACTAGCATCATTTAGCCTTAATGATGGGTATCTTCGTGTATGAATAACTAAGAACTTTGTGTTAACAGGACTCCTTGTTTCTAACAAGGAATTCATGAAATAAACACACCAATAATTAGAAACAACAGTAAATCAAGAACACGTCGCCAAAACAAAGATCCCTCCTATAATTGAACCCAAGGTATTCGTCCAACCATCACGATACACCAAATCATCCAGATCCCATGTCATTGCTTCATCAATCTTTGTGTCTTACACATCTGTCATCTCTACATCCTCGCCGTCTGACAAGAGGTCGTCCACAAGAGATTCTCGTTCACCCTTTTCCTCTTTAGGAACCACAGTGCCATCACTTTCTTCTTCCTCCTCCTTAATGCTTGGCTCCTCCATGACCGTCTTCTCTTCCTCAGGTGATTGATGATCCGTGATCACAGAGGTACTCCTGCTGGTACGTCGGTGGGCTGGTTGTTGTTCATCAAGGGCATTCACGATCTTGCCCAAACTGACATGAAGCTTGAAGAGAGCGCTGCGGCTAGTGGCATCAGACAACAGGCCTTCTTCCACAGCGATGCTGACCTCATTGTAAGCCTCGCGCAGCTTCTCCTCGCTTGACCTAGGGGAAATGTGGAGCTTTCCGAGAAGGGTGCCGATGAGTTTCTTTTCTTCTTCTGTAGATGGGTCAGTATGCATAATTCTCAGAACAAGTTGCTAACCTACTTGTAATGTTGCCTTGTAATTTCTCTAGGATATCCATGGCAAAGTCGAGATGCACATCACCATTGACCGCCTTCTTTTCAGATTCCAGCAGGTTCGTAGGTCTATAGCATTTTCGGGGATCGGTCCAGTCGACTAGGCAAGCTCCGATGGTAGTCATGCTGACCATGTCCTCCTCAACGTCTACATCATCATCCTCCAGGCTTTCGCGAACATTAAACAGAGCGTGGATTGCGTCAAGGGCGATGGACCGCATGAGGTTTTGGTTCTCGTCTCGGGAAAAGCAGAAGACAGGGAGGAAGTAGTTGAGTGCCTGTCGAACAGTCTGGTTTGATGCAGACAAGGGGTCAAAGTACGCGACGACAAGTGACTTGAGCAGATCCTGGCATGCTTCCTCATCACTGACGACACGACCAAGCAGCAGCTTTGAGGCAGCAACAGTAGCAGCCGCCTGGACCTCAGGTGACTTGCCACCACCCTTGACAGCTTTGACGTAAATCTTCAGTAGCCCAGGTGTTGACGATAAGAGCTGGGCGCCATGGACATTGAGAATATCGGTGAGAATGTGCAGAGCTGTGATCTGGAGTGCTGTGTGACCCTTAGTGAAAAAGTGCATGAACAAGCTAAGATTCTCCTCGGCGAGTGAGCGATCTAGGAGGGCACAGAGGCCGAGACAAACCAGGCCTCGCTCACGTACGGGTGCCTCGTGACTTCGGACTGCTGGAACAACGAGGTTATTCAGCATCGCCACAAGATCGGTGTTGTCCTGGAGGTTGCTAGCAACATGGGTGAGCATGCATTGGACGATATGCAAGCACTTCATGTTGACAACAATTTCTCTCACTGCCTTCTCACGCGCTTCTTCCTCGCTCAGTTCAGGGGTACCGCCTCGCTTGCTTCCCTTAGTTGGCGTGCTCTGACCGCTAACCTCTGACCTGGCCGAGTGGAAACTGTCTTCTGCATCATCTGCAGGAGGGTCGTCGACAATGGTGTCATGAACGTCTGCCACTGATTCTAGGACAATGCTTATAAATTCTCGCTCTCCGGCAGCATCTGGCGAACAAATACTCTGAAGCGTCTCAACAGCGAGCTTTGTGACCTCATCTGGTAAATCGGGGATCGAAATAGCCTGTCGAAGCAAGGTGAACATCTTACGTCGTCCAACTTCGTCAGAATAGTCGAGTGTTAGTGCAATTTGGAGCAGTTGTTCAACAATGAACTCCTGCTCTACCGTGTCTTCTTCTTCATCTTCGTCGTCTGCCCCTGCTACCCTCTTAACGGCAGCAGTTAGAACGTGAAGGTATCGTTCTAAGAAGAAAGCGAGCTTGGTGACCTCAGGGAGTTTCTCTTCCAAGAGGTTCAGGTATTTGCCATCGCCTTCAAGGCGGCAGAAATCATTAAAACTCCTGGCCATGAAGACAGACTCAGCAGATAGTGTCTCCCAGAAGTTGTCGTTAAACTCAACCGTTTCACGGTAGTCCGGGCGCCCCTCCCAGAAGCCTTTCATGGCCTCTAGTGCAACGCCGTTCTCAACGCCAGTGTTGACCACGTCAATTCGCTCTAGCAGTTCAAAGAGGCCGTCAAAGTTGGGAGGTGCTGGTTCTGCAGGCACGCCGTCCTCTTGAGGGGGTGCACCCGCGCAATCCTCAATCCATCGCTCGCGGAACAGTCTGCTTGCAGCTTTTCGGACGTTCTCGTCTCTGTCACGAATACCCCAACGAAGGAGCTTCTCTCGCATTTTGACAGACAAGTGACGGAAATCACCTAAGGCAGGGAGTAGTCTGGAATAAACAGCCCTTCGAGTTGCTGCATCCTGATCACGCGCGCGCTCAAGAAGGACTGACAACGTCTCGGGTAGGATGGGAAGGTTGACGAGGAGCGACCTCCGCACATCAGCATTCGGGTCGTTCTGTAGGACTTCCAACAGCTTCTCGAGCAGTCCTGTATCATCATCGTCGCTATCATCTGAGTTGGTGCACCCCTCCGTCTGATTTCCTGCAAGACGACCAAGGCCCAGCACCGCTTGAGAGCGGACCATGGCCTCCTTGTCGCGGATCCTTTTGAGTAGCCCATGGCGCAGTTTCTGGAAGAGATCGTCGTCTATCGCGTCGAGTGAGTTGATGATGTGAGAGATGAGCTGTGTCGACCTGAAGCGGACAACCTTGTCCTTGGCGGTCAGAAGAGGAAGAATGGCTTCGAGAAGTTGTGAGGTTAGTCGAGTGCTTGGAGTCTCTGGCATGACACTCGCATCTTGGTCGATCTCTCCCAGAAGTTCATTGTCTTTTGCACTTGCGTGCTGCAGGAATAGGCCGGTGAATTTAATTGACTTTTCTCCAACACTCTCCGACTTCTTGATTGGCATGATTTTGCTAACGCAACGTATAAATTCGCGATTAAAAGAGTCCTCGTCGAATTCATCTGCACGAGATTGGTCGGGATTCGTTGGCTCGTAAGCGCAAGACTCCTGGATCTTTCGTAGATTCACAACAAGCTTTCGGTGTGTTGCCGTAGTTCTCTGTGCATCACGAAAGACAGCACATACTTTGGTTCGCAAAGCATTATCAGGGGTATCAACTGGTTCGGCAACTGGCGAGGTACGAGATGCGGCGGAACTTCGCGCAGCTGAGGTCCTCGACGAACGGGCGGTAGTTCTTGCAGGCATTTTTCGTGTGTCGTTTTAGTCCATTGACTGTTGTTTAGAGAGCATTGTTGATAGTTGCCCAAGGAGGTTTCACATTGTTTGTTTACCAGTATTCCCTTTACGGCTTAGTCTCAACGAGGGACTGAGGGGCTTCGTTGCTCCACTTTAATGGAACGGCAGGTCTGGTACGTACCTTCCCAAGACTTTCCATCGATAAGACCTTATCGACCTTTTTTTTTTCGCTCTGGTCGCAAAGCCATTTCACTTTATTAGACATAATCATTTTGCACAACCATACAGCAATCATGGGTGCATCAAAGAACGACCGAAAGCGTCCTCATACTGAGACAGAGGAGCTCGATCCCGCTTCTTTCGAAGATCGCGATAATGGGGCAGTAAAGGCCTCCAAGAGAGCCCGAGTCGAAGAACGACGATCGCTCTTCGTTCGATCGCTACCTCCCGGTGCTACGAGCGAAAGTCTTACCGATTTCTTCTCTCAGCATTACCCAGTGAAGCACGCTACTGTTGTTGTCGACCAAAAGACCAAGGAGTCAAGAGGCTACGGTTTTGTAACACTGGCCGATGCTGAGGATGCTGCAGAGGCCAAGAAAGCTCTGAACAACCAAGATTGGAACGGACGCCGAATCCGCATTGATGTTGCTGAGCCAAGACAAAGAAACAATACCACCGGCGAATTGCCTGCTCACAAAGTTCGCAAGGAGGAGCTTCAGCGACCCCCAAAGCTCATTGTGCGCAACTTGCCTTGGAGCATTAAGACATCAGAACAATTGAGCCATCTTTTCAGAAGCTTTGGAAAAGTCAAGTTTGCCGATTTGCCTCAAGACAAGGGCAAGCTCAAAGGATTCGGCTTCGTTACCCTCAGAGGAAGACCAAACGCGGAACGCGCACTGGAAGCTATCAACGGCAAGGAGATTGACGGAAGAACTCTGGCTGTTGACTGGGCTGTTGACAAGGATACTTGGGAGAAGCAACAACCAAAGGAGGAGGCTAAGCCTAAAAAGGAACAAAAGAAGCAACAAGACGATGAGGAAGACGAGGACGACCAAACGTCTTCAGAGGGAAGCGATGATGAGGATGAAGAGGAGGGTGGCGCAGAGGTTAACAGAGATGATCAATTGGATGCTGATCTGAAGAACTTCTTCAAGAATCATATGGAGAACCTCGAGGATGAGGAGGATGATGACGAAGAGGACGACGAAGATGATGAAGCCGACAAGGAGGCTGAGAAGGAGGTGCAGAGCCTGACCCCGAAGAGGATAACAGACAACACTTCAACTGTCTTTATTCGCAACCTACCATTTACGACCACAGATGAGCAACTCAAGGATTTCTTTGATCACTTTGGCAAGGTCCGATACGCCCGAGTGGTCATGGACAAGGTCACAGAGAAACCTGCAGGTACCGGTTTCGTCTGCTTCTACGACGTCGACGACGCCAAAAGCTGCATCAAAGGTGCTCCTCGCCCCCAGCCATCTGTGGCAGCGGCCAAGAACTCGATTCTCCAAGATGAGAGTGCTGATCCTGATGGCAAGTACACACTCGACGGACGTCTTCTCCAGGTTGCACAGGCAGTCAATAAGCAAGAGGCAACCAACCTCGCTGACAGCTCCCTCGCCAAGCGTAACGAGAAGGATAAGCGCAAGCTCTTCCTGCTGAATGAGGGTGTGATCGACCGAAGCTCACCTCTATTCAACCTCATGACACTTTCAGAGATGCAGGTGCGACAAGCCAGTGCCGCTCAACGAAAGAAGCTTGTGCAGGGCAACCCCAGTCTGCACTTGAGTCTGACTCGACTGGCTCTGCGCAACATTCCCCGAAACATGGACTCGAAGGATCTCAAGGAGCTTGCGCGAAAGGCTGTCGTCGAGTTTGCAAAGGATGTCAAGGCAGGTCGCCGACAACCGCTATCAAAGGAAGAGAATGCACGAGATGGGAAGGATGCTAGGGAGAAAGAGCATGAGCGCAAGGCCAAGGGCAAGGGTATCATTCGACAAGCAAAGATTGTGTTCGAGAGTGGACAGGGACAAAAGATGCAAGAGAAGGACGGTGGTAAGAGTCGTGGTTATGGTTTCATCGAGTACACCTCACACCATTGGGCGTTGATGGGACTGCGTTACCTCAATGGTCATCAGCTCGAGAACGAAGCTGGCAAGAAGCAGAGGCTGGTCGTTGAGTTTGCTATCGAGAACGCTCAAGTTATTCAGCGACGACGTGCCAACGAGGAGAGGTCTCGACAACTCAACCCAGAGCATAACAAGGCTGCAAAGGCCGAGGCTCAGCCCAAGACAAATGCTCAACACACCAAGGATGACAAGAAGCGCGGACGCAAGGGTGATAGGGGTGATAGGGCTCATAAGGTTCATAAGGGTGGCAAGGAAAGAGGCAGCAAGCAGTCCGAGGAAGAGGGTGGCCGGAAGCCAGAGTCGGATGCTGATATGAAGCATAGGTTGATTGCGCGGACCAGGGTGATGCGCAAGAAGAAGGCTCTTAGCCGGGGAAAGAAATGAGTGCCAGAGTTTTGATGCCTATCTACTTAAAAGTGTTTACAACGGACATTCCACGGTTAGGGGTGTGTTGCAATTAGAGATCAGCATATCTTTCGGTTAACTTGAAGTACATGATGTCGAAACTTCTTTTGTCATTATAATATTACATTTTCCAAATCATACATCATTGAGCTGGGAGCGAGTCCAAATTCAACTTCTCCATTTCGTTTGTGGCGCAAAGCCCTTATTTCCAGAACCAGCCAGTCTTGGCTTCTGCACTTCCATCCACCTTGATGCCGGACTCTTGACCTTCTTTATTCTTATCCTCGATCTGTGCAGGTTCATTCTCCTTTGGAGCCGGCCGAACAGTATAATGGCTGTGGCTTCCAATCTCATTGCCGTTCTCATCCAGTGTCTTGACCAACGTCTTTGTGTGTAGGTAGCCAAATCGATCTACGTATTCGTCCTTAGTAACGACCTGCTTCTCATCACTTCCAGGCTTCTGCAGCTGCTTCTCTTCTCTGTTCGAAGGTGTCGTAGGATGGTCCTCAGTAATTAGTTTCATAAACGAATCCCAGGGCGATTGGTCGCTAGCAAAGGATGACTGAATGGCAGAGAATAGTTCGTCAAAGTCGTTAGGTCCTCGGCGCAGGTTGCGGTGACCATGAAGCTCTGCACGAAGATCCTCAATGTCATACTCAGGTGGGTTTTCTCTATTCCAACGACTTCTCTCTTCATTGCGTTCTTCACTGCTCAGGGCATGATCTCGCTTGGTCTCTCCCCAGGTGTCGTTCTCGTCGTCATCCTCGCCAAAAGCAGCGCGCCATACTTCTTGAGCCCTACGATCTAGTTCTTCGTGGAATTTGTCCCAATTATTGTTCGCAAGTGATTTTATAAGCTTGGCGGGTCCAGAATCTTCCAAAAGACCCTGTGATCTCAACCTGTGCAGCCAAAAGTATCCAGGCTCACCATTTGGGTACATAGATCGGAGGAGTTTCCGTTGCTCATATCGGGATCTAATATCTGGTAGCTCTTTTCCTTGTGATTCAGCAAGGAGATCCTCAAAGGCGTCTTCGAATGTGAAGATGGAAGTGTCTATGTCGGAGGGTGCATCGTTTGGTCTAGGCTGGGGCATATCGCGAAGGGCCAGCGGAGAATAAGAGGAGAAGGCAATGGAGGCCATGCTCTGTTCAGATGGCCAGGCGAAGCCAAGATCCAAAGGTCCCAACATAGTGGATATGTTTGTGTGTTGTGTGTAGTGTGTAGTGAGTTGTGATGCAGTTGAGACTCAAACAAGTTAGAGCCCAGTCGTTTATGTAGCTTCTGTTCGCAACCCGGTTTCCGTGCGGTATCAGAAACGTCGGAAGATGTCTTTGCTGAGATGCGCTTTTTAGAAGGCCACGTAGATTGAGGTTTATTAAATAAATGAATTATAGCAAGGAACTCTTAGAGAAAGTGCCAGAATTAATGCAACGTTCGTCGTGGTTCCAGAATTGAATTGAATTGAGAAAACCATGTGACAATGGAAAGCTCCCGTTATGAGTTATGACGGCAAAGTCCAACGCTAGTGGGGGTAGCGGGCAACAACGGGCATCGAACCAGTGGCTTACAGTTGATCTTTAATTCTATTGGTCCATTCTAGCGACAAGACCCTGAGCCAGAGACTGGGCTCCGCTTTGACACCTCACTTTCTGCTTTCTGCCTCGCCTAAAAATGCGAGATGACATTGGATCCTGGGACTCGCCAAGGCCGTGCCAACCGCGGGCATACATCACCTAGACACTCTCTCAAGACAAGATTCTGTCTTGTCTTTTGAGACATTATTCTTCTGTTTCTTGGTGAATTCTTCCTAAAAATCATCGCCATCATCATCATCAGTATATCGTCATCTCCTCCGTCTGCGACGGCTGGCCATGTACTGCACGACGCAGCTTGCTACTGACCATCCGCTGCCCCCATGATACTCTTAATTACTTACTACCAAACCGACACTATCGATTCCTCCACCACGACGTCAATCACGCTTTATCCGTCTAAGCTCGGTCATCTTATTGTCCGTTCCCGGTGACCGATCCTCCGAATTTTCCGACGTTGTCTAATTATTACGCCCTAATTTTTGTTACCGACCGTCGCGAATTTCTTCAGAAACTGTCGTACATCTCTCCCGCGCCCGACGATGCGGCAGGCCAATGTCGAACCGCCATGGCCATCAATGGTTGTCGATTCTTGGGCGCAAGGCGCCTCCAATACCTCCTCTCATCACGGCGATTCCGGCAAACCCGGCGATAAAATACAGGAGTGGTCCTCACTTATCGGTATCGTCACAGCCATTGTGGGCAACATACTTATTGCTCTTGCGCTGAATGTTCAGAGATACGCACATATTCGACTTCATAAACAACGGAGTAGGAACCGGAAAAGGGCGAAAGAAGCATTGAAGCACCCTCATCCTGGAGATCATGGTGGCTCATACGGCACCATTGGGGGAGGTAGCAATGGAACTGGGTATCAAAATGGTCACGGAACAAGCACAGATGAGGGAAATCGCATGGACGAGAGCCGTGAAACTGATCCACTGGCCGGGTCTTTTCACTCTGAGGCATCGGAGAGCACCGATAGCAAAGAGGATGATACGTCTTCATCATATCTCAAATCTCCGTACTGGTGGCTGGGTCAAGTTCTTATTACTCTTGGCGAGATGGGCAACTTTCTCGCATATGGCTTCGCCCCCGCTTCGATTGTCTCTCCTCTTGGAGTCGTCGCCTTGATATCGAACTGCATTATTGCGCCCGCCATGTTCCACGAGAAGTTCCGACAACGCGATTTCTGGGGTGTGGTCATTGCTGTAGGTGGTGTTGTTACTGTTGTTCTGAGTGCAAAGCAAGAGGAGACCAAGCTGAACCCTCATGACGTATGGGACGCGATCACTACATTGGCTTTTGAGATATACCTTGCCGTGACCATATTTCTTATCCTGGTCCTGATGTGGGCAAGTCCCAGGTACGGAAGACGAACGATTCTTATCGACCTGGGACTTGTTGGTTTGTTTGGTATGTGACACGGGATAGAAGCTCACTCTGCAGACACTGACTGTGAATCTAGGCGGCTACACTGCCCTTGCGACAAAAGGTGTTTCGTCGATGTTGTCTTCCACCCTTTGGCGTGCTTTTACAACTCCTGTCACTTACGTTCTCATCGTTATTCTACTTGGGACGGCTGTCATGCAGATTCGCTACGTCAACAAAGCGCTGCAACGTTTCGATTCGACCCAGGTCATACCGATCCAATTCGTAATGTTCACGCTATGTGTGATTATTGGAAGCGCCGTCCTTTACCGCGATTTCGAACGAACGAATGCGGAACAGGCGACCAAGTTTGTAGGAGGTTGTCTCCTTACCTTCTTCGGCGTCTTTCTCATTACCAGCGGTCGTGAGCAAAGCCATGATGACGACGAAGTCTTGTCCGAGGACGATGATTTTGAGGATACTATAGGTCTTGCAAACCAGGATGGGAATGGTACCGCGTCCTACCAAGATGGCCAGGGGTTTTCTACCCCCAAATCACAATCACGACGGTCCAGCCACCTGTCAGGTCTTAACTATCCTGATGCACAGAAAGCCTCGGTAGCGGCGGTTACACCACACCAGGACAACAATCTTCCATCAGCTAAGGCTTTGAGTACTCAGATGTCCCCAGGCCAGGAGACTATGACTTCTGGTTTCCCTTGGAACGATTTTGGAGGACCGTCAACGCCACCGGGAAGAGGCGTTAGGGCGTACTCTACGGACTCTGTTCTTGCGCCACCAGGGGCTGCGGGCTCAGCGGCGTTTGCCTCCCACCCAACAACACCGATGAGAGATACTCTAGCTGGTGATGGCTCGCTTCTCCCACGGCCTCAGGCTAGTCCTTCGAAACCCAGTGGTACTGGGAACCGACCCAGGACCTTCATCTCCCCGTCTCCTCTATCGTCAACAGTAACAGCTGTAGTCAAGGACGCCTTTCTGCGCGCGTCTGACGACCCGAGTGTGCGCCAGTCCTCGATGCGTCGTATACGCTCCACCATCCGTGCCGGGCTGTTTTTTAACGAAGACGATGAGAATGCTGATCCCGAGAACAACTCCCGGTCGAACACGCTCCCCGCACAATCAGCAGCCCCAGTATCAGTGGAAAATCTTCCTAGTGCCTTAGACGAGGCTGAGGGGCCTGCAGGCGAGGACGATCTGGTGCGTCGGCGGTCACGTAGTGTTAGTGACACACTAGGCGATTTTTTTGGCGTCCAGCGCAAGAAGCGCCATGATGGCTATTTCGCGAGCGACGTCGAAGATGTGACAACAGGAGGAGCTACCCCGGGTCAAGATCGGATGGATCGTCAAGGGGATTGCCGAGAAGTATAATACGCGGAGCATCTAATAATCATGTTTATGCAAACACATACACATTGCGAGCCGGCCTTGGTTAGCACATTACTCTTCTTACTGGCACCGGAGTCATTTCGTTGTCCAGGCTTCTAGCGTTGGCGTTTGGGTCTTAGAGTAGGGGGTGATGAGATTAGCTCAGTTTCTGGGATAGCATATGTTTAGCAGCATTGTATTGCTTCCATGTTTAGAATCCAATGGATATTCGCTCGCCTTGGAGTTACACGCCTGAACCGGAGCTGGACAGGGGGATTTGGTAGCCTCGGGGTGATCAATGGCGGGGCGTCTCTTCTCTCCCGTCTCTTATCTTGAACCATCATTTTACTTGATGTCTTTAAGCTTGGGATTCAGTGAGTTAGCGACTGGGCGCCTAGTCCTGAAACGAAACAGTCGGATGTTGTTCTTGTCGATCGTGATGGAAATGTGACAAGTGCCGTAATTGGCTGAAACATTAGAACTCGCTTCTCGCGTCGCATTGAAAAAGATCATAAGATTAGGCACTGTGCTATCCTATCATGGTACCCTGCTTCAGCTTCGCTAAGGGGTCTTGAGGAGGAACGGTAGCGGAGCAAGTGCCTGAGAACGATGTATATTCAACGCATCTATGCATGCAGCCGTAGCACCTATCTCATATGTAGGTGAGTATAGATAGTAGCTAGTAGGTATAACGGGTTGGTAGGTCTGGTATAGGTAGTTCGTGTAACTATGCGTAATACAAACAGGCGGATATTCGCCGAATGGTGTCTTGTAAGTTGCAAAAGTGTCAAACATTAAGACCAAGCCACGAGAAGAAAAGGCCCCTTTCCCGTTTAGCCTGACAGGGGGAGGTGTTGTATTCTCCGAGGCTACAAGACCCCAATTAGGATACGATCAGCTCTTGTGGCCCTGTAGGTTACTCGCAAGCTAAGCTAAGTCGTAGTGCTTCCGAGCTTGTGAACCATGAACGTTGGGCTGCGCTGCCAGGAGGGAGCAGAAGAGCGAGGGATAGCATGTGTCCGTCTCCAACGTCTTGCGCAACCTCGGAATTGAGTTTGTTAGCGAATGGTTAGCTGTCTGATATCTGTCTGCACTCTGCAAGAAGCTCTAAATTGGGACTGGGACATAGTTACAGGCATTCATGGATGGGCGACCCAAGAGACTGATTGTTCATTTACCGACAGGTAGGTAGCTCTGATGCCATGCAGCATAGACAGTTAGACTGGCCTGTTTTCAAGGCCCAGATCCCATTATCTTGGCCTTGGAGGACCAGGGAAGTAAACGAGATCCCTGCCCTTGAATTTTTGGGACGTGGCACTTTGAGTTCAGGAACAGACAGCTACAGACTAGCAAAGTTACTAAAAATTGAGCTGTTGGGTAGGGAGTACAGGGCCCAGGTATCCAGAGTTAACAAGATCGTCTTCCTTGCAGAGTTGGCTTGTAAAGATGCATTTCCAAGATAATGTGACAGTTGCTTTCAAGTGCGGCAATTGAATTGACCAGCATAAGATGCAGTAAACACACTGAAGGAACCTAAGGAAGAAACAAATGAGGCCGATAGACTCAGCGACGGAAGACGAGAATTGATTCCCCGGCGCTAAACCTCCAACAACCAACAACTGACAGGCCTCTTTAGCGGCGGGAAGGAAGGGCCAGAGGGCCGAGGAGACGACGGGCAGGCCAGGAATAACAGAACTCTCCAGTGAATCCTCCACTGAATATCAATGCCTAGACCCGGAATGCAAGGGTTGAGAGGCTCAACATCCGGCCAACTCTCGTGGAAAGAACTGGGTGATCGGTATCGGGTGGGTGAGTGAGCTTGGGTTCCCGATCCCCACGAAGAGATCGGTGACAATACCTCCGTACAGTCTGTCTACTACCTATTCCCTACCGCAGGCAGAGGCTGGAGATGTCACACTGTATCAAGGTTTGCCAATGAAGGGTTGATGCTTGTTTCCCTTGAGGTCCTCTGTATCCGTACCTACATATGTATTGTTCCACTGTTCTGCATATTGTATCCGCTTCCACGTACACCGGAGTCGTGTTCTGTCGTATCGATATCCATAGTACGAACCCTAATAGCATCCCTCAGAAAAGAAAGAAAAACATCAAT